CGGTGGTGGTGTCGAGGTTTGTTGTGGTGGTGGTGGTTGTGGTGGTGGGTGGTGGTGATGGTGGTGGTGTGGTGGTGGTGTGGTGGTGGTGTGGTGGTGGTGGTTTGTGGTGGTGGAAGGGTGGATTGTGGTGGTGGTGGTGGTGGTTTGGTGGTGGTTGTGTGGTGGTGGTTTGTTGTGGTGGTGGTGTTGGTGGGTTGCGGTGGTGGCGGTGGTTTGTGGAGGTGGTGGTGGTGGTGGGTGGTGGTGGCGGTGGTGGTGGTGATGGTGGTGTGGTGGTTTGTGGTGGTGGTGGTGGGTCGTGCTGCTGGTAGTGGTGGTGGTTGTGGCGGTGGTGGTGGCGGTGGTGGTGTGGTAGATTGTGGTGGTTGTGGTGGTGGTCGTGGCTGCGGTGGTGGCGGTGGCGGTTGTGTGGTGGGTTGGTGGTGGTGGTGGTGGTGGTGGGTTGAGGCGGTGGTGGTGGTGGTGGTAGCGGTGGTGGTGGTAGTGGTGGTAATCGTCGCTGCGTCCCGGCCGTCGCCGGCGCAAGCGCCGGCGCTGCTGGCTGCCGCCAGCGCCGGCGCCAGCGCCAGGGGGGGAGGGTGGTTTGAACCGCCCCCCTGGGGGAGGGTTTGAACCCCCCCCTTGGGCTGCCTCTGGTCATCGTCGCTGCGTCCCCGCCGTCGGCGCTGCTGGTGGCCGCCAGCGCCGGCGCCGGCGCCAAGGCAAGCGCCCGTGAAACGCGTTCTTCCGGTCCTTGGTACGATCGGAGCAACATCAACTCGGGCCCGGAGAAGGCACGCGCCCTTGGGAGGGCTGGCCCTGCCTGGCGGGGCGCGGGGGCCATGTCGGCGCAGATTCTGCCCAGGCGTGGCCGAGGAGCCGCGCGCGTGGCCTCTGACCGCCCGCACACGCGGCCTTCGGCCGTCGGCGGGCCCAGGCCTCGACGACCTCGGCTGGCATCGTCGTCGTAGTCGGCGGCGGCAGCGGTGGCGGCGGCGGCGTCAGCCTCGGCCTCGGCCTCGGTGTCGGCGTCGGCGTTGGCGTCGGCGTTTGCGTCGGCGTCCGCGTCGTCGTTGCACATTGGTCCGTCGCGGCGCGGCAGTGGCGGTCCGCTCGCGCGTCGAGCAGATCCAGGCGGCAGTGATGCGCATTGTCCCGCATGCAAGAAGCGGGCGGGGGGGGGGAGGGCGGCCGTTGAGGGGAGGAGGGAAGGGGGTGCTCTCACGCGGCAGCGCCGCAGGGAACGGGCGGGGCGGCCAGGCTGCGGGGCTGCCCCTGGCAGCGGCGCGCGGCGGCGTCGCGGGCGCACCCAGGGGCGCGGCGAGCAGCCGCAGTGCGGGCGCAGTGCAGTGCGGGCGGCGGCTGGAACGCGCGGCGGCGGGCTGAGAAGGCTAGCGCGGTGCAGCGGGCACTGAGACAGTCGCCGCGATGCGAGCCAGCGCGGCCATGTGGGGCGGGCGGCAGGGTGGCGGAGAGACGCAAAGCAGTCGGGCTGTGCAGGCTGGGCAGCGGCGCAAGGGCAGAGGGGGGCGAAGAAACAAATCGTTCCAGGGCCGGCGCACGCAACGCAGCCAGGGACAGGGCGGTGCCCAGTGGAACATGGGCGTGGGATCCCAGCAGGAGGAGAGGCAAAAGCGGGGGGAGAACCGCAACGGCGGTGTCCTTCAAGCGGGGCAGCAAGAGCTGCTGGCAAGGGCGGCGGCCAGCTTGGAGCCTGCAGAGCCCAGGGGAGGGTGGGCAGTGAACGTTCCGCACGACCAATGTGGGGCCCAAGGCGCCGGCGCAAAACGGCGACCGACGGCGGGCAAGGCGAGCGCTGCACCACGGAGGAGCGGCGCCAGTGCAGGGGGGGAGCGGCCCGCAGCCAGTGTGAGCACGGCGTGCGGGCAGATGCCCCCGAACGCGCGGGACGTAGCATTAGGGTGGGCTGCCGCGCCGGCGCGCAGGGGAGCGCGACCCCAGCGACGAGCCGCGAGGGGGGGCGCCTGCAAGCCAGACGGGTATTGGCCAGCCTGCGACGGGCGGGCAGGGGCACTCCGCCGGGACGGGGCGCGCCAGGTGGGGGCGCATCGCTCGGGGTGGGCTGCGCGCCCGCCGGAGAGCACCCAGGTGGCGGGCAGGCAAGTGGAAAACGGGGGCCCGCCTGGCCGTCCATGCGCACCTGTTTGTGGTGAAAGGCGTGCCCGGGGCTAGGCGGAGAGCGCACCACCAGTGGCGGAAGCGCGCCAAGGGACAGCACCTAACTGGTGTGTCACGGTGCGACAAGGACGGGCGCAGGAGGGGAGGACGCCGGGCGGTCTGTACCTGCTTCTCCCCGTCTCCCTGCACGGCAATCAGTAAGCATCTGCAGCTCCAGCCACTGCTTCGACTACCGGGCTGAAGTTGTAAAGTGTTTTTTTGTTTCGGGTCCGCGTCCAATGCTGCAGCCGCATGTTGGAAATGATCCCGACGGTCCCAGCCCACCCGCGACAAGGGAATTCGGGCGGGAGCCGCCGAAGGATGCGGCCGAGGGCCCCTGAGCAAGGCCAGCAAGGCCAGCAAGTAAGGCATCCCACGGGAGCCCCAACCCTCTCTACACCTCGCTCGATGCTTAAGAAAACGCGGTTTTGCAGTCTTGGACGCGCGGCTTAAACCTTGGGGAAATTTCTTAAGCTTGATGCTTTCCTGGGGTCGTGTGGGCGCCCACTTGGGCCCCACTTGGATTCGGCTGGGCCCCACTTGGGTTGGGCTCAGGCCCCACTTGGGCCACTTTGCAATTTCAGTTTCCGCATGTTTGGTGCATTCGTTGTATCATTACAATCGCATGCCTGTTTCTCCTGCTCTGCCTCCTCCTGGGGGGCCAGCAACCGCATACGTGCTCAAGGTTGCATGTTTCGCCGCCAGTCGGCTCGTCCCCGCCCCGTGTCGACGGCGAGCGAGGGGGGGAAGTGAGAAGGCCTTTCTCAGAAGGCGGCAGGGTTTCTCAGAACTCCCACCGCCTTCTGAGAATCTGTGCTGTGTCGTCGGAGAAGGCTTAGAAAACTTTTCAGAAGGCCAGGGGATTCCCGAATCTCCTTGGAAGTTCCGCCCCTCCTCACTCCCCCCCCCGAGGCTCGCCGCCGATGATGAGCCGCCAGTCGGCTCGTTCCCGCCCCGTGGGCCAGGGGCGTCTTCGCGCGTCCGCCTGCCCCTGCTGCATCAGGAGCTCCAGGCCTCCCAAACGGGGCCGGGGGACCACGCTGCATCGCCGATGCATTTGCGATGCGGATGAATGTGGAGCCCGAACCTCTCCATTCCGCCGTCGCCGAGGCATGCATCGCCGACGTCGCCGATGCGTCGGCGATGCGCGGTCCTCTGACACATCTGCTCGGGCGTCATTTGGGAAGCCTCCAGGGCCCCCCCCCCGCCTTCTCGCCATAAAAGAAGAGGGTCTTGAGACTCGGAGGAGGGCTAGACGACACAACGGGGGCTTTCCCCAGCGTTTTGCGCCCTCTCTGGGCCTCCTGGAGGCTTCTCGTCGCCAGGACTGGATCCGCATCGAATAGGGCCAGGCAGGACTCTGGGAGAGGTCTGGGTCGGGAACAGATTTTGAATGGATTTGGGCCTGGTGGGAGACTCCTGCGCCCCCCCCCACACCCCCGCCCCGGAGTTGGCAGAACCAGTATTTGGCAATTTGCCTGCGCGTCTAGGCGAGACCCGGTCACGAAATCGCGAATCAACCCGGATGCAAGAGAGGGGAGGAGGAGGAGGAGGAGGAGGGAGGAGAGGAGGAGGAGGAGGAGGGAGGAGGAGGAGGAGGAGGAGGAGGAGGAGGAGGAGGAGGAGGAGGAGGAGGAGGAGGAGGAGGGAGGCGAGGAGGAGGAGGAGGAGGAGAGGAGGAGGAGGAGGAGGAGGAGGAGGAGGAGGAGGAGGAGGAGGAGGAGGAGGAGGAGGAGGAGGAGGAGGAGGAGGAGGAGGAGGAGGAGGAGGAGGAGGAGGGAGGAGGAGGAGGAGGAGGAGGAGGAGGAGGAGGAGGAGGCAGCCGCGAAGCGAGGGGCGGGGAGAGGGGAGGGGCGGCCGCGGGTGCTGGGCCGGGCGCAGGGGCACGCTCACGCAGCGGGGCTGCGGCGAGCGCGCGCGCGCGGCCGGGCGGAAGGGCAGGCGATCTGCAGATGTCGCAGGGCGGCATCACGATGCACCGAAGGTTAGAGGAGGCCCATTTGAGACACCGACAGTTGGCCTTCGTGGGGACCCCTCGCCGCCACGGCCGGACGCAGCGCGAAAAACGAGTGCGCTCGGACCCCGGGAGGGGTCCGGGGACCGATTTTGAGCCGATTTCGAACTCCCAGTGTCTCAAACGGGCCTTCTCCGAGAAGGGCCGGGGGGCCAGCAGCCGCGGTGCGGGCGTATTAGCTCTCGAAAAAAGCAGCTTCCGGCCAAGAAGTGGTATTGGGGAAGTCCGTTTCCCCCAACCGGTGCTTTCACGCACGCTCGGGGTCCCACAAGTGCCTGGAGACTGACCGAGCGACGACCTCGGAGTCACAAGGACCTCGCCGCGCCGCCGGTCACCGCGTGGTTTGGGTTCCCCAGGCGCCAGAGACATCCTGGAATCGCGGCCCATGTCCGAACTCGGCTCGTTGACTCCCGATCTCCTCTGGCTCACCTGGCATTGTGACCTCTGTGCTGCTTCAAACGAGGGGAACTTTCGTGAAAACCGGTCCTGGATGATTCTTCTTTGTTTTCGGCCCACGGTAATGAAATGGTCCTACGGCAAGGTCTGGGGCCCCGCATCCGTTTCCACCAGGAATTGTGTATCTCGCATGGCATAACCCAAAATCCAAGGGCGCCCTCGTGTGCGCGAAGTCATTCGCGCTTCGCGGTTCGGCTCCGATTCCTCCTCATGCTCCTTTTCGCCCCTGGGAGGCGGCGCGAGAGCGCGAAGTTATTCGCACTTCGCGCTTCGCGCAGCGCGGAGCGCGAAGTTGGGAGCCCTTGAAAATCCCCCCCCGTCCTCCTCCCCCGCTGTACATCCTCGTCCGCCCCCCCCGACCGCCGCCGAGGTGTTACCGCAGTCGTCTGGAGCGGTCGTGGACCTCACGGACGCCGACTTCGACGACAGGGTGCGGAATGGTACCGAGGCCGGCATTGGTGGGCGACGGGAAGGAAGGATCGACCGAACGAAAGGGGGGATAGGGAAAGGGGTGGGTACGAAATTTGCTGCATGCAGCTGGTTTCGGCCCCGCCGCCAGGCCCATTCCTCGATACATGGGCGCCTCCAAGCGCCGGGAGTCGCCGGGAAAATCAGCTACGTGAGCTGATTCTCAGACACCCCCTTTGCCATCCCCCCCCTTTCGCCCGGCCCGAAGGGAGGATGGAGAGAGAAGGAGCAGCAGCAGGCGGAGCAGCATGAGCATGAGAGACGATACGTTCGGGTCTTATTCGTGAGCCGTCCCCGATATTCATATGTGCCTTTGTATCCTGCGCATTGCGTTTCGTGTCCTCGTAATGTTTGGTGTACGGGTTGCCCTTGGGAAAGACTGTGTCCTCTCGGGCGTCCTCTGCAAGCATTCCCACGTTTGATGGCACAGGTGTCAGGGCGTTCTGGGGATGAGTCCGCACACAGCAGCAGTTTAACCCCCTCAAAAGATCTCAGATGGGCAGGGGCTCAGCACACGAGGTGACGGCCTTACAGCATCCAGCGCCCCCTCGCCCAGTTGACGCTGCCGCCCCCCCACGCCATGTCTGCGCGGGGATACCGCGCGGACAACTTTTTGGGTGCCGAAAGGGTTTTGGAGGGTGACGTGATATTTGGCTTGCATTCGGTACCATCACTGTTCGACCGATCACACTATCAAGCTCTCTGCCGATCTCACGATCCAATTACCAGGGTCACCATTATCTTTCAGTCTCAGGATTCGCCTGCCTGTCACATGATCCATCCATTAGCCAGCGTGGACCCCCAGCATGCGGGCGTGTAAGCTATGTGGTGCAAGCTGTGTGGTGTAAGCGATGTGGTGCAGTATGCGTTGTGCCAGCAATAGGCAGCAGCGAGGCGGCCTCGGGCGGCAACGTTGCGAAACCTCGCCGGGCCCACCCAGCGCACGAGGCGGCCACGAGTCGGCCACGGGCGGCAACGTGCTGAAACCTCGTCAGACCCATCCAGGGCATGAGGCGGCCACGAGCCGTCGACCACGAGCGGCAACCTGGCGAACCCTCGCCAGACCCACCCAGCGCACGAGGCGGCCACGAGGAGGCCGCGAGGCGGCAACGTCGCGAAGCCTCGCTGGACCCACCCAGCGCACGAGGCGGCCACAACCTACTTTAGCCTTGATCGCCAGGAAGAATTTCGAGCGCCCAATAAATAGCGAAACTCAAGGGTTTTCACGTGCCAGTCCCTGGGAGACACTGTTTCGACACTGTTACGACATTCGACACTTTTCTGGGTGCTCGAAACTATTTCTGGGATGCGGCCCTGAAGTAACACGGGAACAACATAACCTGATTGCAAACGTTGTTTGGATCATCTCATGTCTCGGCCAGTCTCACCGCCGATCGGTGGGGCAGTCCATCGAAGAGGAGTCTCGGGGTGGCCGTGCGGCTTTTGGGACTCCGGTCGTTCCCCGGGGTGCCGACGGGGGCCTCCAGAGTTTAAGGAGGGAAAAAAAGCACACAGACATAATTAATCGTCGACTCCCCCAAATCTGGGAAAATGTGGGAAGTGGGGGGGGAAGACAGCAACCCAGAAAAAAATGGAAAGTATGGGGAGTCTGTTTATTTGTGTGTATTTATTTGTGTGTGCTGGGGCCCCTTCAAACAGAGCGTGGACGCACCGTGCGGTGAGGTCGCCGCGCGGTCAGGCATGACACCGCTGGGGGCCCCCGAGCGACTCGGCGGCGCAGTCCAGAAAGGAGGGCAGATAGTGCGGAGCCGGGTTCAGAAGGGATAGGGTGAAGTCGGGCCTGTCCCTCTTTTTCAGGGGGAATATTCAAAAATTGTGAGAATATAGTCCGGGGACTATTTTTTTAGTATGCTTGGGCATCTTTTGGGTATTTGTAGGCTATTTTTGATTTTTCGCCGAAAATCCCCCTGTAGGGGAACACGCCCGACTTAAGGTTAGGGCCGTCTCCAAGGCTTCCTGTGCCGTCTCCGCCGCCCCCTCTCACTCCCGGCCTTCCGCACTCCGCCGACGGGATGGGAAGGGGGCGTTCGACGGATGTTTCCTCTGCGCGGGGGCAGCTCAATCATGCATGCGCTCGACGGATGTTTCGTCTGCACGGGCGTTCGCCGGATGTTCCGTCTGCACGGGGGTATGCGACGTCGCAGTGCCTGAGATCAATGATGCAGCTGCCTGCGAGGAGCAGTGCGGTTTCGAGCCGACTGCGGGCAGCTGGTGCTCTGCGCCTTCTGCGGACCAGCCTTTGGCCGCTTCTCGTCCAAATTCACGAGCTACCATTCGGGGAGGGGACGAACGGTAGGTTCATGTCGTGTCGACCGGCGGCGACCCCGCCAGCGGCGTTCAATTTTGAATGCCGCGGGCGTCGCAGAGTCGTTCGATGTGGAACGATTTGGACGTTTCGGAAACGGCCGATCGTTCAAGGTTGAACGTTCCCCGCGGTGTCAGAAACCAGCGCCAGAGTCGGCACGACACGAACCTGACGTACCGTAGGGGGGACTGCCGGGAGGTGCCCTGGCTGGTCAAGTTCTACGCGCCTTGGTGCGGCCATTGCAAGGCGCTGTCCCCGGTGTGGGAGGAGCGGCGGCACCAGTTTTGGGCAGTGCCAGGGGGTGGCACCTCCTCCTGCTCCTCCTCTCAGACCTCTCAGACCATGGCGCGCCTGGTCAATCCATGATCGGCCGACGCCCTACCACATTCAATCACTGTCGTCGGATGGGCTCCTGCCTCGGAGGGGTGGGAGCAGGGGCGCATCGTCCTCTTCACCCAAGAGCCCCGACCGCACCAGAGTCAGACTCTGGGCAGCGGTGCTGGCAGATTCACTCTGCCCAGGGCTAACAAGGTCTGGGTCGCCACCAGGAACGGGGCCAGACGAGGACGAGGCAGACGACAGAGGAAAAAACGGGAGGGACGACAGAGGCAGGGAAGGGCCCAGCCTGTAGTTAGTCCCAGGATACAGTCCTCGGAGAAGTTTGCTCCTTTCAGCACTTCTCACAGGGGGATCACAATCGCTGAGGAGCCTAGTCCCCGCACGTACACACGCGATCCCTCCACATGCAATGCAAAAGATTAACGGCACATCCGTTTCCACCAGCCGCGCCCAATGCAACTTGTGCCGCGCCCCACCACCCCCCCGCAAAAGAGACAAGCGTGGGGTTGGGGTTGGCGCACTGGGTGGTGGTCACAGGTGTGATGGCACGCAAGCACCTCTTGCACCTAAAACCCTTTCCATGGGGGACGGGGAGGTGGTTGGAGGGTGCTCTAGGCACTTTGGCCCGCACGGGCCGATTCACACCTTTGAAAGCTGACTCAAACGGGGGCCACACCGACAGGATCGCGACGAATCCTGCAGCTAGGTAGGCGTATTCTGCCATCCCTTCTTCAAAAAGCGAAACTTCCCCTGAACTGAGACAAGGAATTCTGGCTCCCTGCTTGGCCCAATGATCCACCGCAGTCGAGCCAGAGATGGCGCACTCATCCTCAAAACTAGTAGCACTCTCCATGCTGCGGTGGGCCTCAACCTTCGTGAGGGAGGGCCAACCTTTACAGTGCCTACTGATCTCCCGCCAGAAGAAGTGCAGCCTGGAAGACCCTTCCAAAACCTTCCGAGGAGACCTGGACCCAGACACCAACGCCGCACAGTCGACAGAGATAGGTTTTGGCTGGGTCTCCTCTTGCTGCGTCCTAAGGATAGCAACAGCTAGGCCTGCATGCTCCGCATCAGTCGCTTGCTCTCCTCCTCCTCCTCTTCCTCCTCCTCCTCCTCCTCCTCCTCCTCCCCTCCTCCTCCTCCTCCTCCTCCTCCTCCTCCTCCTCCTCCTCCTCCCCCTCCCCTCTCCTCCTCCTCCTCCTCCTCCTCCTCCTCCTCCTCCTCCTCCTGCTCCTCTCCCTCCTCCCCCTCGTCCTCCTCTCCTCCTCTCCTCCTCCTCCTCCTCCTCCTCCTCCTCCTCCCCTTCCCCCTTTGGAGACGCAGCACGAGCCGGTGAAGGCGGTGGCATCGGCGGCGGCGGGGGGGGACGCGCCCGATGGGGGCGGCGCCCCCAGGCGGTCTTGCGCCGGAGGTGCAGGCGTGGCTGGGGCGCTGAGGCGGCCAGCGGCGGGAGGCGGCGTCCGTATTCCTCCTCCCCCCCCTCCCCCCCCTCTCCTCTCCTCTCCTCCTCCTCCTCTCCTCCTCCTCCTCCTCCTCCTCCTCCTTTTTCTCCTCCTTCCTCCTCCTCCTCCTCCTCCTCCTCCTCCATCTCCTCCTCCTCCTCAACCTCCTCCTCCTTCCCCTCCTCCTCCTCCCAAATGTGGCTTCGTCCTCCTTAATCCTTCCGACGAAAGCCTCCCAGCAGTTGCCTCCTAACGCGCGTTCCCCCCGGCGCCTCCGCGGCGGGGGGCCGCCGGCCGCTCGGAGGACCTCGCCAAGAGGCTGGGCGGCGGCGGCGCGAGGGCCGCCGCCCGGGTGGCGAGGCGCCGGGCCCCGCGCGCCGCCCCTGCGAGGGCCCGTGGGGTGCCTCCCAGGGCTTCTCCTCCTCCTTCCCCTCCTCCTCCTCCTCCTCCTCCTCCTCCTCCTCCTCCTCCTCCTCCTCCTCCTCCTCCTCCTCCCTCCTCATCCTCCTCCTCCTCCTCCTCCTCCTCCTCCTCCTTGACCGGTACGGTCGAAGTTCGAGCAGTGGCGAAGTTTCCTGGCCCCTTGGTGGGCCCTGGAAGCGACAGGGCCGTTGTTGTTACCGGTTCCGTTCTGCCGTTTTTGTTGCCGGTTCCGACGCCGTTTTTGTTACAGGTTCCGCCGCCGTTTTTTTGTTACGGGTTCCCGCTCCAGTTCCTCAAAGGGCGACAGTGGGGCCACGAAGGGCATGCATATAGGGCCACGACGGGCGCGAGCGAGCGGGGGCCACGAAGGGGATTCGTACAAAGGGCCACAGGGCGAGAGCGGGGCCACTGAGGGCAGCACCGGGGCCACGAAGGGCAACGAGGGGGCCACGAAGGGCGACAGCGGGGCGACGAAGGGCATGCGTATGGGGCCACGACGGGCGCGAGCGAGCGGGGGCCACGGAGGCCATTCGTATACCGGGCCACAAAGGGCGGCAGCGGGGCCACTGAGGGCAGCACCAGAGCCACGAAGGGCAGTGAGGGGGCTACGAAGGGCGACAGCGGGGCTACGAAGGGCATGCGCATGGGGCCACGACGGGCGCGAGCGAGCGGGGGCCACGAAGGGCATATGATGCGGGGCCACAAAGGGCAGCGACGGGGCCACTGAGGGCAGCAAAGGGGCCACGAGGGGCAGCGAGCGAAGGCGACCGCGGAACCAGTACGGGCAGCGAGGGGCATCGAAGGCGAGCGAAGGGCAGCGAGCGGCGACTGCAGTCATTAACGGGCTGGTCGGGCGGGCAGGCCCCGACAGGCGGGTCGAGTGGGCGGGTCGTTGAAGCGTGAGTCCTGCTTGAACCGCTAGGCAAAACCGCCAGGCAATATGCGGCACCTGAGTAAATTGTAAGGAGATATCAAGCGAAGCGGCCCGGTAAGTGGCGAGGAAGTCCCAAGCGAGAGCGCGATTCTTCAATACATTGTGACCGGGAGTCGTTGTTGTTGTTGTTGTAAACTGGGGGCCAACGGCACAGTTTGAACTTCAAGATTTCCCCTGATAGAAAACAGGGTTCGAGCCCCGGGAGGGGCACTTCAATCGAAAAAATACAATGTGCACCGGGCGGGGGGGATCAACAATATTCATTTTTCACAAATGAGAGTTCAACGCAACAAACAGAACCCTTACCACGGATCCCGACTTCAGCCACGCACCTCGGGACAATGAATGACCCTTCGGCCCCCTCACTCTGATGGGCATAGTCCGGGGACGCTGTTTCTGCTATCGTTGATTCTGTGGTCTAGCAGCTTCGGACAGTTTTTTTTAGCTCTCGCCCGCAGTACGCCTGTAGGGGGACATGCCCGACCTCACTCGAGCGTCCGGGCCACCCGCCGCCGCCCGCTAGACCACCCCAGCCCAGCCCGAAGGTCCCGATTGGATCTCAATTTCCAGTGTGGGGGGGGGGGTCGGGGAACAGGTGGAAAACACACACACACACACACACACACACACACACACACACACACACACACACACACACACACACACACACACACACACACACACACACACGACGCAGCACGCACGCACGCACGCACTGAACGCACGCACGCACGCACGCACGCACGCACGCACGCACGCACGACGCACCACGCACGCACGCACGCACGCCGCACGCAGCACGCACGCACGCACCGCACGCACGCATCGCCACGCTCGCACGCACGCAGCACGCACGCACGCACGCACGACGCACGCACGCACGCACGCACGCACGCACGCACGCGCGCACGCGCCTCACGCGCGCACGCGGGCACGCGCGCACGCGCGACGCGCGCACGCGCGCACCGCGCGCACGCGCGCACGCGGCGCACGCGCGCACGCACCCGCACCCGCAAACGCACACGACACGCACAGCACGGCGCACGCGCACGCGCACACGCACGCGCACGCGCACGCGCACGCGCACACGCACCGCACACGCACACGCACACGCACACGCACCACGACACGCATACCGCTCACGCACACGCACAGCACACGCAAACGCACAGCACACGCCACACGCACACGCAACCACGCACAAGCACACGCACACGCACACGCAACACGCACCACGCACACGCACACGCACCAGAAACCCGCCCCGCACCCGCACAACGCACCCGCACCAGCACCCGCACCCGCACACAGCACCGAACCCGACGCACCCGCACCCGCACCCGCACCCGCACCCGCACCCGCACCCGCACCCGCACCCGCACCCGCACCCGCACCCGCACCCGCACCCGCACACGCACCCGCACACGCACACGCACACGCACACGCACACGCACACGCACACGCACACGCACACGCACGCGCACGAATCCCGCACCCCCCCCCAACCCGAAATTCTCCTTGAAATTCGTTGTGAGTTTGTTGGTGGCCATGTGCGTCAGCTGCTTGAATGAGGTTCCTTCCCATTGGGGCTGTAGTGCTGTGGCGATGGCGCGGCCTCAGGCAAGGGTTGCAAGGGAGCTACCCGTTGTGTTGTGCATGGGCCGCCTCCGTTGCTGCTGCCAGGCGTCAGGGGTCTTGTGGGCAGGGCGAGTGTGAGAGCAAAGGCGCCCTCGAGTGCGCGAAGTTATTCGCGCTTCGCGATTCGGCTCCGTTTCCTCCTCGTCCTCCTTTTCTCCCCTGGGAGGCGGCGCGAGAGCGCGAAGTTACCCTCAACTTCGCGCTTCGCTCAGCGCGAAGCGCGAAGTTGGGAGCCCTTGGAGAGCGAGAGAGTGTGGAGTCCGACCGGTGCTCTCCTCCAGGGCGTCATTCAGGGCACCCCCGGGGCAGTCCCTCCCCCCGCGAACGGAGCCCTCGGACACTGTCCTTCCACGGGCGAAGAGCCCTCCTCCTCCGCCTCCTCCTCCACCTGCCCCGTGGCCCGTGGAGGAGGAGGACAGGAGAAGGAGGAGTAGCACGAGGAGGAGCACGAGGAGGAGGAGGAGGAGGAAGAGGAGGAGGAGGAGGAGGAGGTGGAGCAGCACGAGGAGGAGGAGGAGGAGGAGGAGGAGGAGGAGGAGGTGGCGGAGTGGGAGGAGGTGCTGGAGGAGGAAGAGGTGGTGTGGGAGGAGGCGGCGGAGCGGGAGGAGGTGGTGGTGGAGAGGGGGGGATCGCGGACTCGAGGCTCGAGTCTTCAAAGGGTCGAGTCTTCGAGGGTCGAGTCTTCGAGGATCGAGGCTGAGGACCAAGGCTCGAGGCTAGAGGATCGAGGCTCAAGGATCGAGGATCGAGGCTCAAGGATCGAGGATCCAGGATCGCGGTCAGAGGATCGAGGGTCGAGGATCGAGGGTCGAGGATCGAGGATAGAGGGTCGAGGCTCAAGGATCGAGGATCGAGGGTCGATGGTCGACGGTTGAGGATCGAGGCTGAGGATCGAGGTTGAGGATCGAGGATCCAGGATCAGGGATCAAGGATCAAGGATCGAGGATCGAGGATCGAGGATCGGGGATCGGAGGATCGAGGATCGGAGAGCGAGGATCGAGGATCGGAGGATCGAGGATCGAGGATCGAGGATCAAGGATCGAGGATCGAGGATCGAGGTTGAGGATCAAGGATCAAGGATGGAGGATCAAGGATCGAGGATCGAGGTTGAGGATCGAGGATCCAGGATCCAGGATCAAGGATCAAGGATCAAGGATCGGAGAGCGAGGATCGAGGAAGGGGAGGGGCTCCCCCTCTGCTCCCCCCCCGTGGCCCGCCCCAGCCCGCCCCCGAGCGCCCCAGGGTGGACGCGACGGCGGAGACGTCTCTGAGGGACGACTTCGACGTGAGGAGCTACCCGGCCCTCAAGCTCATCGCCGAAGGCGGACGGTCGAGGCCTCCCAGATGTGGTCGGAGCAGACGGGGTCATATTGACGCGCCGCATCGCCGATGCATCGGCGATGCAGCTCGTGGGGAGCCCGGTTTGCTTTACAGCGGCGTCGCCGATGAATCCCCGACGTCGGCGGTGCATCGCCGATGCATCGGCGATGCATCGGCGATGCGGCAGGATCCTCCGACCCCATCTACTCGGACCCCATCTAGGAGGCTTCTAGAAGGGCTGCCTCCTTCGGGCAAGGCTACGACGAGGGTGAATCCGTCCCAGGGCGTTGCGGGACGCTCTCGGAGCGTTCTGGAACGCTTTGGGAAGGCCGCGGCGCCTGAGGCATTCTCCAGAGCCACCAGATCTCAGAGGTTTGCGATCTATTTTCGCCCGACTTGATCCTCCTCCTGGCTTCATCTTAGCCCCCCGTGCTTTTTCGGCCGTTTGGGACTCGATCGGTGGCTCATATGGACAATCTCGGGACAGACCTGAGACAAATGGCGAAGACGCGATTCCCCAGGCTCGAAAGGCTGATACGGTCGGGGCCCTGAAGAAGGAACCCTTGCCGTTGGGGAGGGGCTCCGTGTTCCTGAAGTGTTTCGCAGCTTGCCTCAGGCTTTCCTTAGGTCTTCGATAGGGAATCGAAGTTGGACTTATGGACAAAAAGGGGCCTCGTTCCTTATTTTGGGTTCCTTCGGTCACGACTGTAGAGCGAGCGGCCCCGGCCGCCCGGCGCAGGCCGCCGGCCGCCCCCCCACCCCCCCCGTTGCAGGGACGCCCCGCGCGCCGTTCGTGCGAACGTTCGGTCGCTCGAGACGCCTTCGCGAGTGCAGTCGGACCGAGGCAGAAGTAAAACGACGCGAAGATCGGGACAACATCGGATCGGGATAACTCGAGATCTCTGAGAATCGGCGGGTTTGGAGGCTGTATTGGGCGCCGCGGCCGCTCCAGAGCGTTCCGGAACGCTCTGAGAGCGCTCCGGAACGTTCTGGAGCGATTTATCCCGATCCTAGCACGGTTTTCATAAGATCGAGGTCGGTTCGGGGAGGGTTTCCTAGTGTTCTCTTTGTGCTTGATCGATGGTCTTGTGCAGCCCGTGGGGGGCACCCTTCGATGTTCTGCTCGTCTTGGCCGACGGAGGGTCTCTCGTGCTCTTCCGGGCCGTTCTTCTGGCCTGGCTCCCACTGTGCCCCGGCCCCACCCCCCGGGGGCCTCGAAGCGGGCGGGCGCCTCCGAGAGCTCGCGGAGGTGGCGGCTGCGCTTCGGCGAGACTGCTCCGCGGGTGCCCGAGCCGTCCCGAGCGGAGGGAAGAGGCCCGAGCTGCGGGCGCGTCGCGGCCCAGCAGCGGCGGGCTGTCTCGGGCAGGTCTGGGCTTCGGGCGGCCGCGTGCCGGGCCTAGCATTGATGGGCCTGTTTTCCACCACCACCAGAAGTTGGAGGGGGAGGGGGTCCTCCCCCTCCTCCTCCTCCTCCTCCTCCTCCTCCTCCTCCTCCTCCTCCTCCTCCTCCTCCTCCTCTTCGTCCTCATCCTCCTCATCCTCATCCTCATCCTCGTCGTCGTCGTCCTCCTCCTCCTCCTCCTCCTCCCCTTCGATATGATGGTGGTGGTGGAAAACAGGCCCATCAAGCATGGTCAACATGTTCCTGGGGAGTGGTCGGAGACTTAAGGGGTTGTACGTTGAACGGTGCGAAACACGTCGCCGCGTCGGCGTCTGGTTCTCGCCACGGAAGGACCGAGGTGGGGACGCAAATCATAGGCACGACGAGCGACTAAGTCGCATGCCCATGCTGAACAGAGTGCGTGGTCAGTGTCATCTCGGGCATGGTTCATTTGTGACGCACGCTGCCTGTCCAGTAGCGGCTGCAGTAGGGGGGGTATTTGTCAATCTCCTGGGGCGGGATCGTCCCATGTTTGAACTCCCGACCAGAGCGTTCGGCAAGCATGTTCGGGGAGGCTCATCTCGTGGGTGGTTCCCAGGGATGGCCTCTCCTCCTCCACGCCCCTGGCGAGGGAGTCCATGATCGGCCTTCCCCCCCCCATACAAGATTGAGTTCGGTGAGTTCTCGTGGCAGACGCGCAGAGAAGGGTCGTCACACCACCACGACTGCCTTCACCTGCTTCTTGATCATGGTGGCGTTGCTTGCGAGAAGAAATGAGCTGGCATCATTAGGGGACTGGCTAGTGAGGCGTCCTTTTGAACAGGCTAGCGTGCGATTCAAGCTGGTGCCTCCTGGATCGAGTGGCCCGTGACGCCGTCTTTAGTTGAAACGGCGCCAATCGCGCGAACAGATGCTTAATTTAATCGTTTCGCTTATTCCGCCAGCCCTGGAGCCCTCTTTAGGGCCTCTTGGGGACCTCTTGGGAGTCTCTTGGGGCTCCTTGGCGGCGTCTTGGGGGCCCCCAGGGCCTCTTGGGGGGCTCTCGGGGGCCTCTTGGGGCAGGGGCGGGGGTAGTCGATTGCGCCCCCCCCCTCGGAGGCCACGATCCCCGTGAGGGGTGTCGAAAAATTGCCCGGTCCGGCATCTCTGACCCCCACCCTCCCAGGGACCTTCCGGGGTACTTTTCGCCCGGGGACTCCTAGGGGCCGCCCCGCGCGCGCGAACTAGAAATACTGTTTACCTGTTACCGGAGATCTTAGCACGCCCTGGCCCGTTGGGCCGGCGAATTCTGTGTGCGTACCCACCCGCACACTTACGCTAGAGCTACGGCATCCCCATTTTCTCGTTCTTCCGCCAGTACGCCGTGTCTTGCCATGTGATTGCAACTCCAGGGGTCATCCCACCTTTGCTCACCACCCACCAAGCCACCCCAACCCAACCCGAAGGCTCAGATTTACCCTCGATTTCCAGTGGGGGGGGTGTCGGGAAACATCGAAAAAAACACATGTGGAACCCTTACCCCCCCCAACCCGAAATTCGGGTCTTCGGGTTGGGTTGGGGTGGTCTGGTAGGTAGTCATTTGCAGTTGCCCCCAGCAAGGATCGGGGAAGTTGTAGCGCGCCGATCGGTGCGTGGCGAGGGCAGGCTCCATCCACAGGGTGTCCGTCTCTGCCGGGGCCAGTGCCTCGAGCCAGGTGCCGGCACCAAGGATGCACCCAGAGCCCTCTCACTGAAGCTCAGAAAGACCACAGGAGGGTTTGGTCTCATGCCCGCGTCCTGCGACGAGGATTTCGAGACAAGCAGCAACCTTCTCACAGTCAAGCGCATGGATGATGTTGGTATGGCCAGATCTGAGGACACCGTCGACAGGTACGTCAAGTGTGTTGAGGATAAGTTTGGTGAATGTAAACTTTCAACAAACATGCGTGTATCAATTGTGATGTGAGATATACAAAGGACGGGGACGGTAACGTTACACGTGATTTAGGCGAATACGTAAAACATCCCCGTCCCATACAGCATCCTGAACTCAGTGGCGCAGGCGCTGACGCCAAGGCATCCAAGACGCTGGCGCCGGTCACTGACACGTTTATCAGTCTCAGAGGCGCCTTTGCTTACGCATTAACCATACAGGTGCGTTTGGTGGTATATGCTGTTTCCTTACAGCGTGTCCAAGAACCGACCAACATACAGGTACGACGACTGAACGCGATCACCAGGAAGTTGCAGGCCAGCCCTAAGGAGATCATCTATCGATCGATGGCTCCACTGGGTGAGGTCGACCTCCGGCTATCGATCGATCGAATGGGAGATCATCCATCGACCGATGGCACAGCGACTCCGGCTATCGACGCCTGAGTGGACATGCGGATGACAAGGTCAAAGGCTATGGTTTTCGCGGGGCAGACCTGCTACGGCGTGGAAACACGCCTGCTGGTGCGCCTGTCGTCCATCTTACCAATGCGTACTGCAAGTCTCACCGCTTGCGGCCGCCCGAACTATGCAGCAGAAGCGCTAGCAGCAGCCCGCAACTTGGAGGAATGCTATCCCACCATCGTCATACCGCACGAACTCCACGCAGGGCCGCTGGCACCCACTCGGTCGAAGGATGTACTGGATTTTGGCGGCCTGAACATTTAGGTCACTTTGACCACAGATGCGGAATCTGTATTCATGTCTTTGTCAAGCAAAGACCTGGAAACAAACAACGGTTGAGTGTATTCTGTTGGGACACATCAGTTGGATACGACAGATGTTGGAGCGGTGTATCGTGCATACCATACAGTGCCGCGACACTCGTGACATGATATGATTGCGGACGGTCACGCCAAAGGGATCATTGACAAACCTATGTTCTTACAGGTCATGGGAGGAATGCGATCCTTCAAGCATGACCTAAAACGTCATACTCCGTACAGGGTTGGCCAGACAACATCGTATGAGTCCGAGTGAGGACTGCTCGCCTGCAGGGCGATCCGCGCGCAAGGCAACTTGCGTGCAAGGGCACTTGCGTGCGGGCCAACATTCCTTTTGAACCCGCCTGTTGCTGCGTTCTTTGCGTATATAGCGTTTACTGTATAGCGGGCGGCGGATTCACGTTTCGTTTCCTCCCCCCGTCCCTAAAGGGAGCTGGTGCAAAGGCGAGAGATAGCGAGCGTTTGCCCGCAGCCGTTTGTTTTCAAGCGGCCGGCCGCCAGGATATGACTGCTCCTCATCGCGAGGCGCACCACTTGCCATTGATACCGAAAACTCATTCGTTTGACATGGCCCGTCGCTCCCGCGACGATCTCCTACTTTTGGGACTATCGCTACTACGGTACAACAGATTTGGATACTGGCATCTCCTCAGTCGAGACTGCTGGCTGGGCCTCCCAACCCCTTTCAAACTCAGTTGTGCATTGCTTCTCGCACGTTCTTATTTGACGCCTTCCCCCCTACTCTCATCCTCTTACCCTCCTTCGCCATCCTGTCTTCCCTCCCTCCTCCCTCCCTCACTCTCCCCCTTCCGTCCTCCCTCCCCCCCTCCCTCAGTATTCCCCCCTCCTCCCTCCTCCCTCCTCCTTCCCCCCCTCCCTCCCTCACCCTCCGCTCATCCTGTTTCCCTGCGCCAGTGTATGTCTGAGTCCACCGTCCCGCTGCGAGGTAGCGTGTACAATTACAAAGGACCGCGCGTCGCAGACGCCCTGGAGGTCTTGACATGTTTGTTTTCCCCTTGTGTTGATGGTCATCGTTGTTGTTTGTGCGTTCTCTCTCTCTCCCTCTTTCCCTCTCCCTGGGCCGCTTTCTCACACTTGGTGGCTCATGTGATGTGTCCTGTCCCGAGTGTCCACGTGTCTCCTGCCAAAAGTGGTTCTCCCACACCACCGCAGTGTTCTCTCCTCGGTGCGTTGTAATCGCCGCAGGATTGCCGCGGTTTGGATCTGTAATTCGAGCTGGGTGTGTTATTCTGGTTGTGATGCATTCGGGTTTGCGATCTCAGGTGCGCAGGTGTTTGCATGCGCTCACACTGCTCAGCTTTGACTGACAGGGCTAAGTAGGCATGCGAGAGAGAGAGAGAGAGTGAGAGAGAGAGTAAGCAAGTATGGTATTCGTACTGGCGTGCGTGTGTGACTGCGGTAATCAGCACGTACCTGCTTGGACGAGAGGGTCAGTAGGCCCCGTTCCGCTCTCAATATTGGGTATGGATGCGATCACGCATGGATTCCGATGTCTCTCGATCCAGCCTCGTTTCACCGAGGATGCCCACGGCGAACCACCGCCGCCCCCTGTCTTCTGGCAGCGGCCACGCATGCCAAACATTGGGCCTACGTCGGGCCAGGCCATCGGTCCAGGGGTTACCCCCAGCCTTCGTGGAACCCATACCACTTGGGATATAGCCGCACTAGGTTGCCCCCCCCCCCCCCCCAGCAGCATTCGAAAGTGGTGAGTTCCGTACTGCGCAGCCCCCTTCCCACACGGATGCCGAGGTCCCGCTCCGGCATGCTTAGCTCCGCACGGAGTTTAACACCCCCCCCCCCCCCCAGCATCCCTCGAGAGTGGCGACAGGTCCGCAGATCGCAGCCCCCCAGGGATGGCGCGGTCTCGCTCTGGCCTGCGTAGCACCGCACTAAGATGGACCCCCAGCAGCCCTCGTACATGGCGACAATTTCGCAGGTCGCAGCCCCCGCACGGATGGCGAGGTACCGCTGTGATTTGTTGAGCAACGCTTTAGATTGGATCAGCCTTCGAGAGTGGCGACAGTTCCGCAGATCGCAGCCCCTCGAGATCCATCTCGCTCTGATCTCTCTTGGCACCGCACTACGCTGGACCTTCCAGCAGCACTCGAAAGTGACAATCATTTCGCAGATCGCAGCCCCCCAGGGAGGGCGAAGTCCCGTTCTGATCTGCTTGGCACCGCGCTTAGCTGGTCCCCCAATCAGCCCTCGAACATGGCGACAATTTCGCAGGTCGCAGCCCCCCCACGGATGGCGAGATCCCGCTCTGATTTGTTGAGCACCGCAGTAGATTGGATCCCCCAGCAGCTTTCGAGAGTGGCGACAGTTTCGCAGATCGCAGCTCCCCAGGGATGGCGCGGTCCCCCTCTGATCTGCATAGTACCGCACTAGCCAGTCGAAACCTCCAGCGTCAACGTCCCGAGCTTGTCGAAACCTCCAGCCGCGCAAAGCGGAGCGTCGCGCTATCCGCGTGCAAACCATAACATGTCGTTGGTGCCGCCGCCAAGACACGGAAAACAACAATTTCTGAGTTTAGCCGTCTTCATGACGCCTTGAATTTGTTTTGTCCGTGCTTCTCGTACTCCTTGGTGTTGGGATTTGCCAGAGCCCCAGGCCCGTCGCCGGTCGCAGTCGAGAGTTGGAGCTCGAGGAGCTCCAGAAGCAGTTTCGTGTGGCAGCTTGTCTTCGTAGCCCTATGGCGTGACGCCCGGCTCCACCTGTGTCTTGCGTGGCGGCGCCGCGCGGTCCGCCTCTCAGCGTATGCTGTGTGACGGCATGGTACGGCAAGTGCGGCCCTTGTAGCCGTCGCCGACGCCGACGTGTTCGATCCGCTGCAGCGGTCCAGCTGCCCAACTGCCTGTTCCTTGCTTCTGCCGCGATGTCCAGGATCGTGTTGGGCATGGCGCCTCTAGCGGCCTGACTGCACGCAGCGTGCAGCAATGCATGCGCAGTGTGGACCTCCTGCGTATAGTGATGTCCAGCGTGTCCAGAATGGCCATCGTCTGGAAGCTGCACGCCGGCCGCTGGTCCCTGCCGCCCCGCCGAAGCTCTGCAGCTTCTGAGGATCTTGGGTAGAAGTCGGCCCTCGGCCTTGGCTGGGCCGCAGCTGGTGCCCATCCAGGCTGTCACCGCGGCCTGCACCGCCTGCGCCCAGACCTGGCCGTGTGACACTCGGTGTGCTTCAGGTGGCGTTGGCGCGGTCCTCCGCCAGCTCCTGCTGGCGAGGCTGGGGTTGCGCACCACCTCCGTGAACCATTCTTCCGCCTGTGGTCTCGGCCGTGCGCTGCTGGGGCACCTCCCAGTCGATCTCGTGCAGCGCTCGATCAAGCTGGGCCAGTCGTTGCGCCACATGCTCCAGTCAGCCGCGCCAGCTCCTCTGGGGCTCCAATCAGGGCTGGAGCTGCCACTACGCGGTGTCTCGAGGCCGTGGCCTTCTGCCCGCGCGGGGCTGCTGTACACAGTCCGGTGTGCAATATTTGGCGAACCATGTTTCACAAGGCAGCCGTAGACACAACCAAGCTCTAGACGCTTCGCGTATCCCCACCAGAGCAAGTTAGCCCCGTACCGTGACCTGGACGCCGCTTCCGCTCCCTGTCCGTTGCCTCGGAGCCGCTGACCAAAAAAGTATCCCCACCGGCCCATCCAGAAACGATGTCCAGGCGAGTTGAGGTGACCAGGGAAGTGCGGAGGCGAAGAGGGGGACGGCCGAAGCGTGCGAAGGAGAGAGGAGGAGGCGGAGGAGGAGGAGGAGGAGGAGGAGGAGGAGGAGGAGGAGGATGCTGGCTGGATGGCTGGATGGCTGCTGCGCGCGCGCCGCTGCAGTCGCCGCCGCGAGCCTGCCGCGAGCCCGGCGCTGCCGCCCCCGGCAGCGCCGGGCACGGGCTCTGCGGGCGCCGAGGGCCCGTGGCCCCGGCGGGCGACGAGCCGCCCCGAGAGGCGGCCGGGCACCGCGGGAGCAGCTCAGAGCCCCGAATCATCAGGGGTAACTCGGGTCAGGGCTAACTCGGGTTCGCTTTTCGGGATTCCGAACCCGAGTTACCCCGGACCCGAGTTACCCCGGATAATTCGGGCGTCCAGAGCCCCAAATCATCAGGGATAACTCGGGTCAGGGCTAACTCGGGTTCCTTTTTTCGGGAGTCCAAGCCCGAGTTACCCCGGACCCGAGTTACCCCGGATAAGTCGGGCGCCCAAGCAGCGGGAACACCGGGGCTGGACAGAACCCCAGCCTCAGTACGCCTCGGCCTTGTGGCGCTGCTTCCAAAAAAGTCCACGAGGCACTGGTTATGGACAGGAATCTTGCCCGCAGGTCCCGGCCATCTGCGAGCAGGGACTCTGCGAGCAGGGGAACGCCCCTGTCTACGCGGGAAGGACGGCTGTGGCCAAACGGGCGACACGGTGCGAGAGGCTCTCCCCCGCCCGCCCTTTGCCAATCCTCGTGGTGGCCCACGACCCCCGGACGGGCACGGACGGGGTGTCGGGGGTGGACGGAACCCCCAACAGTGACACGTCGATTCGTGAATTGTCCATGTTTGGTTCTCGAGGGGGCGCCGCGGCCGTCCTTTTCCAGGCCTGCACCCGCCAGGTTTGGGCCTCCGGTCGTTTTCACTACACCACGTTTTGCTAAAGTCAGGAGGGGAGGAAACACACAGACACAATTAATCATCGATCCCCCAGAAAATATGGGAAAATATAGGAAGTGGGGGTGAAGACGAAAATCCAAAACAACATGGGAAAATATGGGGAACCTTTTTATTTGTGTGTACTTATTTGTGCGTCGTTGGGCCCCTTGATAAAGGGGGGTCTGTCCATCCCCGAAATGGACTGGGGGAGGAGGAGGAGGAGGAGGAGGAGAAGCAGGAGGAGGAGGAATGAGACTGGGGGAGGAGGAGAAGGAGGAGCAGGAGGAGGAGGAGGAGGAGGAGGAGTAGGAGGAGAAGGAGGAGCAGGAGGAGGAGGAGTAGGGAGAAGGGGGGTCTGTCCGTCCCCGAGAGCAGCGAGCCCCGAGGGCGCCGCTCTCGGCCTCCCCGTGGTGGCGGGCCCCCCTTTGCGGGCCCCACGTGGGGGGCGGCCCGCGGGCGAGGCCGGGTGAAGCTCTGGTCGCTGGGTCGGGCGAATCGGACTTCGATGGGCCTCCTACGGTAGGTTTGCGTCGTGTCGGCCGGCGGCGACCCCGCCAGCGGCGTTCCACCTTGAACGCCGCGGGCGACCCAGAATCGATCGACGTTGCACGATCGGACGTTGCGGCAGCGGCCGATCGTTCAAGGTTGAACGATCCAGCGCGGTGTCAGGAACCAACGCCAGGGTCGACACGGCACGGACCTGCAGTACTCCAGATCTCGTTATAAAGGGAGGGGGGTCTCATCTCGGGGGGGGGGGTGTCTCTGCCAGGCCATCTTGGAGGGCCTGGGGGTACCCCCGACACTCAGGAGGGAAAGAAGCGCACAGACACAACCAATCGCCGATTCCCCCGAAGATATGGGAACATGTGGGAAGTGGGGGGGAAGACAAAACCCCAGAAAATACGGGAAACTATGGGGAATATGTTGATTCGTGTGTATTTATTTGTGTGTCTTGGGGCCCCTTCTGACACGTCGATTCGTGAAGTGGACGCTTTCGATTCGCGAGAGGGCGTCGCAGCCGTTATTTTTGCGGGTCGATTCGCGAGAGGGGCGTCGCGCGAGGGTCGGAGAATAGGGGAACGAACAACGACATAAACATGAAAACTCGGGTGTCCGCGCGGATTTTCCCTGGCGCGCGGAGCGCGCCAGGGGCGGCGCCAGAGGCGCTTCAGGGGGGGCCCAGCGCGGATCCAAGGAATCCGCGCGGACCTCCGAGTTTTTATGTTTACGTCATTGTTTGCTCCCCTAGAGAACGAGTCTGGATGAAGGTCTGGTCGTTCGGTCGGGCGAACAGAAGTATGCACATGCACCGATCTTGGCCAGGTCCATCCTGGGCCCAGGATCGGTACATGTGCTTTCCTGGCCAATGCAGGAGGGCGTATGCACCGACCCTGGGCTCAGGATGGGCCTGGCCAGAATCGGTGCATGTGCATACTTCTCTTGCCTCCACTCGGGAAAGCCTGGGGCCCAGGACTCGTTTCCCTCAGCAGGACCTGTTTGCTCCATGCTGCGCAGGAGGGACGCACTCGTGCATGGGAAGGTGCGATGCAACCATGGCGCGGCGCCAGGGCCAACGTCGCCCAAGCAGGCAGCGAACCGTGGTCCTGGGCCCGCGGCTCCGCTACAATGCAGGGCGCACGTTTTCGAGTTTCGGAGCTACGGTGGATGAGGTCCGATGCGCGACCTGCAGCTGTTCA